TTTTGAATGAAAACAACATTGTTGAAGGGTCGGCTTGCATGAAGGAGTTGCTTTCAGAGTTCAAATTTAGTGAAAGTTAATGTTGATATATTAGGTGGATAATTATCTCTTGATTTTGAACGCAACTGTAGGATTTAACTTGAACCAAACACTTTTTTACATTGCATATCAGGGATATTTTGTCATTTGTTAGATTGTTGCCTTTATGATGGATTATTATTATGTAATTTTAATACACTCTTTGAGACGCAACCAAATGTATGTATATGTAGTCTAATGAGGCGAGAGAAAATGTATGGATGAGATTTGACACATTTTACACTGTAATTTTTTTAAGCAACAAAAAAGCAAAATATATTTGAGGATTATCGACTAAACTTGGGCCGACTGTGCGTGCACAGCCGAAAGCCCACTAGTATATTAAATAGAATACACATCCAATGATCAAGCCCTATCTCCTCTCTCTATTTTCCCTCTCTTTTTTCTCTACGTCGATTTCTTTCCCCTTTTCTTCTTCTTCCCCACGCAACTTCCCCATGCAAATCCCAATTCTACTTTTGTTATTTCAATTTTATCATCCTATTAAAAATTCTTACCAGGACTGACGACTGAACGGCGAACACTGAGATTGAAAGCAAGAACACCTGCGGCCTAGATCTGGTGAGGTCTGGTGGAGTACGGAGAGAGACAGCAATAGGAAGAACACGACCAGCCTAGATCTGTTGATGTCAGGTGGAGCACAGTGACAGAAAACAATCAGAAGAACATCTTCAACCTAAATCTTTGGCGTTCCGGCGACAGGTAGCAGCGTCTGTGAAGGTCGCGCCGAACAACGGCCTAGATCTGTGGCGTTCAGCGGCACAGAGCAACGTCTGTGAAGGTGGCGGTCAGAGGGACCAGACGATGCACCGCTCAGAAGAGGAAAACTCTGGCTGGCGGCCGGGAACGGAGGTCAGCGGCGGCTCTGGAAGTAAGAGGATAAAAAAACTCCGGCTGGCTGTCGGAACGGAGGTCAACGGCGGCTCTAAATGGGGAGAGAATGTAGAAATTCCGTCTGGCGGCCGGAACGGAGGTCAGAAGCGGTTTGGACAGTGAAAGGATGAAGAAACTCCGGCTGGCGGGTGGAATGGTGCTCTGGATGGTGATTGGAAGTTGAAAGCGTGCCTCTCTGGTGAGAGGATAAAGTTGAAAGCCTGAGTGACGATATTGTACGGTTATATGGACCTGAGTGATAAAATTGTATTGATTTTATGAAATTTGGAGAAACTTGTGAGTATAAGCAGAGTATTTGATCTTTTTTTTGTTTATTTATTTATTTATTTTTGGAGGGGGTTTGAGATGCTTCAACGGAGTTTAGTATTGGAGGAGCGTAGAAGAGGTGTACTACAATTATCAGAAATTCTAATTTTGTTTATTTTTTTTTTTGTGAATAAATGCTTCAGAAATTCTATTTTTTTGTTTTTGTGAATAAATGCTACAATTTTTTAAAAATAGACAGGCTTGTGGACTAATATAATAATAATATTTGTCATATATATATACTATAGCTACAAAAATAATATGAACTAGATAATATAATGTATAAAATACAAAAAACAATATTCGTTGAAATACAAAATGAAGCAAAAAGATGCACATGCACTGATGTACACTGTACTTGCGTGCTGAGGTGTAACAAATTTTTTGTACTATGAAGTGCCACGTGGCTGTTTGGCATCATGCTACACTCTTTTATTGAATTCTTGTTCTATACAAGAATCAAATCTGATTATCCGAATATGGGCGAGTAAAATCGAGTCAAAAATTAAGATCGAATCAATGCTCAAATTTGATTATCCGAATATGGGTGAGTAAAATTGAGTCAAATATTAAAATCGAACCAATGCAATTAGACATGATTTTATGTTCAATTTCTCTAATGTGGAAATATTTCAGTTTGATTTTTTTTTTTTTTCTACACACGACTGTGGTTATTATTTTCTATAAATTCGTTTTTTTTTGTTCTACGCTAGAATGAACCATACAAAGTTAAATATACAAATGCATAGAAAGATAATTAATAATCAAGCTGAACGTACATTTTTTGTTTGTATCCAGTTCAATTGTATTAGTGTGGAAAAAGTTGTGCTTACATTGGTTTAGTACTCAACCGCCTGCCGCACTGCTTCTCACCATAAATAGGAATATAGGACCCTATTTCAACTTTTAAAAAAAAACAAAAAATAAATAAATAATAAAATATAATAAAATTAAAAAAAAAAACATGTGATGGTGATTATATTGGGATTGTGATACTTCGATTGGTGCAATTACTTTTTTATGAATACTAGTAGCTGCAATAATCTATTCACCGTTGTTGTCTGTTATGTTATTTTTATTCTCATGGTTTGTATTATCAAAATGTTTATAGATTTTTAAATGACAAATATGAAGTTCAAATAATCATGTTCTCCAACCGTTAGAGTCCAACGTGAAACTCATATACTGAATATATATTGACTAATCGTGTCTTTCGCATCAAAATTATATTTCGGTATAAATAAATAATAATTTATTTTTAATAGGGGTTAATTGCCTATAACATTCCAACATTTTGTTTAATTGCAAAAAAAAAAAAGTAAAAAACTCAACTTGTTCAACTTTGCAACTAAATACCAAACTTTTATTATGTATTGTAAGTTTGTCTCAAAATCAGTTTCTGGCAAAGCCTTGCTGACATGTCCGATCAGAATTTTGACGTGGCACGTATTAAGCTTGCGTGGCTCTCAATATTTTAAAGTAGATGTCACATCATCTTACACGTAAGAATCCACATCACATTCCCTTAATCCTTTTCATTTGATTTTACCCCATTTTTGCAGCGAGAATAAAAAAAAAAAACTTTAGTGACACCTTCTTCTCAATTCTTTTCCCCAAGGCGATTTCTTCTCGATTTTTCTTGCAACGATTCACCTCCAAAAATTGCAACGACTTCATGGCTTGATTATTCACTCCAAAATCGAGCTCACTATATGCTTTAGAAATTCATTTCAATCCAAGATCTCTAAAACCAAGAATCCCATAATCCTAAAACCAAGAATTCATCTATAGAAAGCAAGATCCCAACAAGTATGTATGTTTCTTCTCGAATTTCAAAAGTGAATCGCTGCAAATTAGGGGGAGAAGAAATCACGCCATGAAGAAAGTGAATCGCTGGAAATTTTTATTTCCAATTGAGGTGAATTGCTGCAATTTTTCGAGAAGAAAGTGAACTCGATTTTTGTTGGTTCGATTTTGGGCATATGATGTGGGATATGAGTTTAAAATGTTGAGTGTCACGCAAGCTTAATCGGTGTCACATCAAAACTCCGATTGGACATGTCAGCAAGGCTTAGCCGGAAACTGATTTTGGGACAAACTTGCAATATATAATAAAGATTTAGTATTAGTTGCAAAGTTGAAAAAGTTAAATTTTTTTTACAATTAAACAAAAGGTTGGATTTTTATAGTCAATTAACCCTTTTAAAAGTAGTATAGGATGCTTTTTTATTTTTTATTTTTTTTCATTTAAATTCATGGCAGGTTTGCGGTTATAACGAACTCTTAGTCCGTGTATGGCAAATGCGATTTCACAATTCTAGAAACAGGCAGAGTTATTAGTTATGGGCTACAGCCTACATACATAGTGAAGCAAACTCATCTGGGCTTTTCTTATTCCAATACACCATAACGGGCTTTAGCTAACGGTATTGGATAAATTGCTGGGCCACTAGCATTATATCAATATGGGCCATAGTACATCCAAGCCTTATCTGACGAGCGTTGTGCTTAAAGCCTTAAACAACATAAAAATCACACACAAAAAAGCTAGTGTGTGTGTGTATTTTTAACCACCGTTAATTAAATTATAGCTTATTTAAATAGTTTTTATTTTTAAATAAAGTTGATGAGATTTTTTTAAGAAACTGAAACTTATGAATAAGTTTCAAGATTTTTTATTTTCAACTCAACTTATCACTTAATTTTACAAAGATATTTATTTTATTGTATAACTTTTCAACCTTCAGTCATATTCTATCAACTATAAGTTCGAAATTCATATATAAAGTATTAGTTATCAACTAGCTCTTCAGCTAAATTTAACAAACACAATTCATATTTCAGAATTTTCGGGAGAAATTTTTTGGATATAAATAAAAGAATAACATTTCACAATATATATGTATATATATTTATTTATAAAAGTATGACAGATCGACCGACTAAGGGTTATGTCACTGTCTTGCGTCAGCGAAAAAATTGTGTTGGACTAAATTGTCTAAGCCAAACACAAGTGCCTGTGCTTATATATATAGAAAGAGATCATCATTTTCTTAAGAGCACAGACATGTTTGCAAGTATATAGTTTTTTTTCTTTCTCCACACAGCTTCCAGTATTCCCAAAAAGAAAAAACAATATTCTAGTTTGTTTAGTTTTTGTGATGGTGTATTGGCTTCTCCCTTTTTAAAGTATATTGTTTTGTTTTGAGTTTATAACATTGCTATGTTTGACCAAAAAAAATACCTCAAAGTTTGGTCTAATTACAAAAAGTTCTACTATTTTGTATAATTTACAGAAGTGACATGAGCTCAAGTTCTATTTATAATGTAGATAGGTTGTTAAGTACTTATGGTGTGTGTGATTAGACTAAAGTTGGAAGGGGTAGTTTTTGTGATTATTATTCCTATAATTGTTGAACATTTTCTCTTGTGAATATGTGATTTTTATTCTATGAGTTCTTTGCCTTATTTGGACATTTAATCTTGTTTTTTTTTTTTCTTTTGGGATTGCACAAAATATTGATGGCAACTTTTATGTGTTTTTTTGTTTTTTTTTCCCCCGAAGCTTCTTTGCATTATGTTGCTGCTGGCTTTGTGAAGTCTGCTTTGATTAAAACATCGAGAATGAGCAAAACTTGCATCTTCTACTTAATTTGTGTTTAATCCATTGTATCCACTTTGTAATACTTTGTTGAAGCTTACTTGTTACTTAAGAAATACAACTCATGTGGGTTTTAATATTATTGATTAAGATTTCATCATGTTCATGTCATGTGTAACCCCATGTTTGCTCTTATACTCAAGAGCATCACAAACACATATGACCAGAAATACAAGAGAGACACACTCAAACGTATTTCCAAACACGAGCACTCGAGCATAAACAAACGACAAAAACGAAAATTTGTCTAGAAAACGAAAATTATCCAAAGGTCACTTCAAAGGTTAAGGGCTTGAGCATGGTGGCGAATGTGGTCATCGATAAAGGTGGCTATGAAATAGTACGAGTGGTCATAACCAGATTGCATTCGAAGCAACAGAGGCACATTAACATTTCGACATGCCTCCTCAAACATGTTCGGCAGAAGTTGATCGTGCAAGAATTTGTCTTCGTCTCCCTAAAAAAAAATCTCGAACAAGTTACAAAAGTTTACGCGTACATATATTTCTAGTTTCTACTTCAGACACGTAATTTTGCCTCGTTTGTAATTTTTTTCAATTCATACTCAAAATCAAACTTAACTTTAACTCAACCCTACTATCCTCAATATTATCAATATAATTAAGTAATATCAATCAATCATTCTTACACATTACATCAATTCACTATTCATCCACTCACATAATTATAACGAATCATAACTTTACATTATCTCTCTTCTAATTTTACATCAAAACTTTGGTTATTTTATTTTTAAGTAAAATAATATAAACTCAAAATTCCACTAACCATACCACATTTTTCAAAATTAACCCTGGTTAACCAAAAAACTCATTTTGAGAGGGATATATTTGAATCCAAGCACGCCCTAAATGTCGTAAATGTAACTTATTTCCCGACAAACTAACAAAGGATAGATTATGTTGTTACCTGATCGATTAGGATAGTAGCCGAGACGTTATTGAATGTTGATACGAGAACAGTGGCATCGTATTCCTGCATTATGATAAATATCGCATAACGTAAGATTCAATCTGATGAGTTTCAAAGTAGACTTTCAGACAGGTAGTAAATCTGATGGATAAAAAAGTACCTCCCAATCAGTTTTATTTTCGCCCAAGTAATTAGTGAAAGCTTTCTGGCCCCACGGACAGTTTATTGGGTTTACAATAGGCGAGAAAGCCGAGACTGACTGTAAATGAAGCAATAAAAAAACAGTAAAAAAAGTACAAAGGCAAGTGAAACTTGGTAACTAGTTTGAATTCGGCCGCGTTAATTATGATAACTAGTTAATTACCCTTGAGTTTAGATTAGTTAGCGAAATCTTGGTAAGATTAAACTAGAAAGGTGAAATGTTGAATCAAAGTCGAACCTTGTACTTGTCCAAATTTTTCAAGTAGATTGTGAGAGCTCCATGCCCGCCCATAGAATGACCGAAAATCGATGCCCGTGTTGTGTCAATCTGTGGGAAGTTTTCCTTGAGAAGTGCTGGCAATTCCTTCACAATATAATCGTACATCTGCCAATTCTTCCATTTATCTTGAGTTGCATTGAGATAAAACCCAGCACCTATCGAAAAATAAATAATAAATAAGCATCGAAATTCAAATTCAACGGCCAATAAAATCACATATGCAAGAATAAATATGTTTTCCAGGTTTTTAAACAGACCGAATTTGGTCCGTTCCTGTTTATTCCCAAATGGAGTAAAATGAAAAAAAAAAAATGAATGGAAGTACTCTATGTTCTGCGCATTCCCTGTCCTCTGTTTCACACAATCTTTATGATTGAAATTCTTCATTCAGATTAGGGAAAATTTGATAAATTGCAATGGGACATACCGACACCAAAATCCCAGCTGTCAGACTCTCCCTCGACGTTCAGTCCTCCTGTGGAGGCAAGTAGATTATTCAATCACCAAATGACAATAAATCCAAGAATTACTCGGTTAAAAGTCTCTTTGTAGCATTCTAATTAAGAATAATCGAATTTATGACCGACAATAGTTAAAATTGTGTAGGTAATTATGGTTCTACCAATCAATAGCTACTATGATTTAAAGCTAAAATGCAGAAGAAAGAGAGAAAAGTTCAATGTTCTGCATGTACGTATTATTTAACACCAAATAACAGCACAGTTGCCATGATATTTGGCACCAAGTAACCAACATATTAAATGTGCGTTTAGTTGATTTTTAAATTCAGCAAGGGGAAGTATAAACATAAAATCTAATTACTAGATTTCCATATTATTTTATGGAAAAGAGCACTAGATAATACTCCCTCCTTTTTTTAATAGATGTCGTTTTAGAAAGTTGCACACTAATTAAGAATATTTTTTTTGTCAATAATAACTGAGGATAGAGATGGATGTTTTGAAAAAAGATAAATAGTGAATATGAAAAGACGTAGTGTATTTATTAGCTAGATAAGGGTAATAATGGAAAAATATGTACAAAAGATCCAAAACGTCATTTATTTAGTCAATTGTTGATAAAGCCAAAATGACATTTATAAAAAAAAGGAGGTAGTAGTAAATATCATGACTTTGATTGGAAAAGTTCGTTAAAAACATGTAAATTTTTAATATAGTTGTATCTTCTATGTTGAGTTTCAATAACTAAATATCTCATTTGCTAATTTTTTAGAAGAATTAGTAACAAAACGAGCTCACCCTGATTATTCACGGAAGAAAGTTATAACTCTGTTTGTTCCAAATGATCATTCTCATGTTAATTTGGATGTCGCAACATAAGACACTATCACGTGCAGCATTTATTTATCTAAGTTTATTCCTTTGACTATGTTCATATCAATTAGATGAGAATACGTGCCATTACTATTTCGTTTTCTTCATCATTGAATTGAGAGCAAGTAAAAAACATAAATTAACCTTATTTACACTGGAATCATAAAAGACAAAGGGTAACTCCTTTCTTGTTTCTATTTTTCCGGCAATAGACAAGCGTAAATCGAGCTACAAACTTTACTGAAGAAAGCAAGTGTTACTGATTTGAGTGATTTCATCCTTTAACTATGCCGAGTAAAAATTAAGCTAAATGACTCACTTGGAGAAGTGTCAGGTACAATCAACACAATACCCTCGCTTGAAGCAACACGCTGAGCCCCAGATTTTGCTATAAAATTCTCGTCCGTGCATGTAAGGCCAGAAAGCCAGTAAAGCACCTACAGACAGTTGAAACAAGTCCAATAAAAACATTCATCCTGAGTTTAATATGCAATCAGATGTGTCATGGGTGTAAATGTCATCATATCAACAACACATAATTTGAATGTTCTGCTCAACTCCAGTGGCTAAAACTCAAGCATACGAACTGAAAGATTGTAAGAGCAGTATATATATTAGGAGAAAAACGGCATAAATGTACATAACAGAATTAGCCGCAATTACTACGTTTTCAAGAAATATAATCATTAAGAGAAAAAATCAAGGACTAACTATAGGATCACCCCTTATAATGGCAGAACCCCAAACTTGCAATTAATTTTTTATCTTTTATCAGCCTTATTACAAAGCAACAACAATTGAGGTGCTTCAAAAAGGAATAACGGAGCTCATACAAAAACTGAACCACTCAAGAAAAGACGATTTGTTTGATACAACCCAAAAATCAAGAACAACAACATCATCTGAGTTCAATATGCAATCTCATAGCGACAACCCATAATTTGTATGTTCTGCTCAACTCCAGTAGTAAAACTAAAGCATGCAAAAGGGAAAGATCGAAAGGGAAAAACAATAATCAACCAGCATAATGCTCAATAGCATAATTACAAAGAACAGCATAAAGCCTTATTACAAAACCAAATAACACAAAATTAAACAAAAACAACAACGGCAGTCCAAAATAAAGCATTATTACAAAGAAGCAACAGCAATTGAGGTGCCTCAAAATACAATAGCGTAGTACAATAAAAAATCGAACCATCCCAAAAGAGCAGAGATTTATTTGACTCGACCCAAAAAATAAAGAACAGAAACATCACAAAAATCCAGCAAGAAATAATAATGGAACTCATATAAAAATTGAAGAAAAGAGAGGATTTTTTTACACAACCCCAAAATCAAGAACAGCAGGAAAAAAAAAATCCTGCAAAAACCGGAGGTCATGCTAAAATTGACAACAAATTGAACTTTTTTACACAACCCCAAAATCCAGAACACAGCACCACCACAAAATTCCAGCAAAATACATCAAACGGAAACAACAAAAATTGCATTTTTAGGTCAATCCCGCACAAAGAAGTGATGAAAATGAGCGTTTTGGGACATACAGGGAATTTGTGGGAAGGTGAAGGGGAAGGGGGAAAATAGACGTGGAAGGTCATGGAGCAGCCGAGCGTGGGGCTGTGGTGTTTGTATCTCTTGTTGTGGCCGCCGAACATCTTTGAACTGCTGATTTCGGTAAATTTTTCGCTGGTCGNTTTACAGTGAACACTGTGTGTACATCTTTGGTTGTAGGCAATATTCTAGATTACAGCCGCTCGAGCGAGTGCTGGCGTCACAAAATATTTTGTGTGAAATATATTAATTAATTAATATTTCTTGAGTTTCATCTCTAGTCTACCCCAGCTTGCTATAGACTAATAGGCTATGTTGTTGTTATTGTATATTAATTTATTAATATATTACATAAGTTGTAAAGCATTATATTTATATTTTTTTTATTATTATATAATTACTACCCGATTTGCATTGTAACTCTAGTACAATTTGATATTATCGTAAATTTATTATTTTGCGTGTTTCTACTTTTATGAATATTATTAAATAAATTTTATCGATATTATTAATAACTACGGTATGATATTTTAATCATTGACACAAAGTACCAAAATTCAGTGTTCTAATATTTAATATTGCATTTTTTTTACTTTGGTTATTATTTAATTGATAAGCTCATATTAATAAAATAGAATAACAAAAATAGAGTATTATTCACTTTAAAAATAATGAAATTACATTGTCTTATATGATAAAAGTAATATTATCAAAATAGTGTGCAAAAAGAATTTATGTATATCTTGTCTTACAAACTGAGTGTTGTCGTGCCTGTCCGGCGTTCGGAAAGTGATGGGTTCTAATGAAGGTGTTGAGATTAGGAGAAGGGCTAAACTATGTGTATTTTCATGTTTTTGCAACTTATACCATAATAAGAAACTTCTAGAAACATTTTATTCTATATTATATTATTTTATTTTGTATATTATATACATGATGCCTGTAGTCATGTTCATGTGTGATTTTACACCATATTTATGTAGTATCTAGAGCTTATTCATTGCATTATTGGTGTATAAATTGCATTATCGTGCTATAATTCTATATCTTGTGGAAAGGTATTACACTTGTTTGTTTTGTAGATATTTTCACATATTTGTTGAGCTTTTGGCTATTGGAGGCGCATGGTGAGTACCTAAAACTCCCGGGATGATGAAAGATTGATGTACGGATGAAAAATATAGAAGAAACGAGTGAAACGAGCAAAAATGAGAGTGCAGATTTGTGACACGGGCAGTGACACGGGCACCATGCCCGTGTCCGAGGCCGTGTCGCCTCAACAGAGAGAATTCGAAGTCCAGGGACCTGACACGGGCTACGACACGGACCGTGACACGGGCAGAATGGCCGTGTCGCGCGCGCAGGCTGTTTTTTATATCTTACCTATTTTGAAAAGGAGAAGGGTTTTGGACATTATAAAAGGCATATTTATCCTATTTTGAGAAGAGGAACATGAATACACAAGAGAGGAACCCTAGAACACACAAGAGAAGCAATTGGGAAGCAAAAGAAGATCCAACTACAAAGGGATCAAGAAGATTGAAAGATCGATGAGATTCCTAGTTTTTATTTCTTCTTTCCTTTTGAACTTTTATTGATCATGTCGATTTCTAATATGTCTATGTATTTGAATTCGAACATGAGTGGCTAGTTTATTTGATTCTAGGACTTGGTAGTAGATTAATATGTTGGGATTTTGGATGAATTATTATAATTGATTGTTTTTCTTTTGAACCCTATTCAAATATTTTGTTCTTGTTTCATGTTTAGCACTTGATCAATGCTTTTACATGTTTGACAATATTGTTCATAATTCGAGAGATGAGTTCAATATTAGGTCTTTAATATTTTACACAATTTACTTGCTTGAATCGAGAGATTAGTAGGTCGTTGTGAGGATATTAGATCCTTTAATCTATTTGGAGTTGAATTGCATGTGTTGAGTGGAGACGCTAATATATGTGATTTAATCTACGATTTTATCGATCTCGAGAGGGACGATAAGCTAACTTTGTGATCATCTTATAGGGTAGATAAAGGAACATTTAGTTGTAATATTTTTTAAGGAACCCAACTATTAATTGAAACCAAAGTCTTAGAATCTATCATTCTTATATATTTACTTACGTGTTACTCTAGCTAGTTCTTTATTCTTGTTTTATTTCTTATTGATTATATTTTATTAGTTTAGTTAATCCATCTCATATTCAATCGTCTAAATAAAGTTGACACTATCATAATCTGGTACTTGATATATTAATTATTTGGTCTCTTGGGATACGACCTTGCTTGCCACATACTATGAGTGAAGCCGTACACTTGCGGTCGAGCTTTAAAAATATAGGCGAACAAGTCACAGCCCACATCAACTAGTAGACAATCAACAATATACCATTGAGGCATTGAAACTGCTTTCATGTTTCCATCCATTGTTTCTTAATAAGGAAAAAGAAAAGGCAATAAAGGAGAAAGGGAAGAGAAAAAGATTTGGCTAATTCGGTGAAATTCGTTTCTTGGGATTCTGCGGTTTTACAAGCCATTGCAGTTGGAATTCATGCATGGAGTGTACCGATTGATGGCTTGGCTTGTGCATTCAGACCAGTCGAAGCATGCGCTTTTGGTGACTGAAGTGTTGGAAATTTGATAAGAGTTGAATTTTCACAGTTAAGGTAACAGAGTTTTTGGCTTTTGCAGTTTGCTAGAAACCAATTTTTTATTTTTTTCTTTGATTAAAAACCACTTTAACAAAACCTAGACAAGAAAGATACATCTGAGCCAATCCCGATTACAATTTACATCCTTCAATCACCAACACTGATTACAAACCTATAAGTAGAAAATGGTCGTGCGCGGCCATGCATAACCAACTCTATTTGGATATGAGGTTTACTTGTCACTCAAGATTTGCATTTGTATTATTGTTCGATATCTTGAACAATGCACACTTTAAGTAGATATCGAGCATTTGGATAGCTTAGTAGTTATTAGCTATCCAAGTGGGCTTTCGACTGCACATAGATACAAATCCATGTGAATGCGTGTGGCATGGCCTTCTTTCCCCTTTGCCCCATTTGGAGAGATCGGATTTCTCAAAACGACTGCTACTTTTGTTGAATGTGAAGGAAGGAAGGCGGCTGGCGGGAGATCTCTAAATCATAAAATTCCCTTAACAAATTTGAATATTTAATTACTTCAAATTGATGAATGATTATGGGTGTGATTTGATATGAATTTGACTGTAAAAAATCAATCAAAACTCAAATTTAACTCAACTTTAACTTAAATTCACTATCCTCAATATTATCAATGTAATTAAATAATATTAATCAATCATTGTTACACATCACATCAACTTTAATTCATTATTCATTCACTCACATAATTTTAACTAATCATCATTTCCAATCATTTTCCTCATACTTTACATCAAATCAATTTTAATTATTTTATTTTAGATATTATTTTAGTTTAAACTTGAATTTCTACTAAAATAATCATACCACATTTTTTAAAATTGACTGTGGTTAAAAAAAAAAAATCAATCAAAAAATAATCAAATCCATATCCAATCACACCCTATGTGATCCCCAACTTGCATGTTCATATTTTCTTATGACATAATAAATAAAATTGAGGAATTTGGTGCAGGTAAAGTTAAACACTAATTCCATAAGGAGGAAGGATCTCACATTAGAGAAGAACTGTAATCTATATATATATAATAAAATCTACCATTTATCAAGAATGGCATGTCAATTTATGGTCAACACTCATTTGCATTTATTGTTTTCCTTTAATT